TTGAGAAACACTGCTATATAGCCTTATGGATGGTTGGATGTCAACATCCAAAATTCCCCAGCCAGCATGGAGAATTCCATGTCTTACAGTTGCCAAGATTGAAAAAAAACGCTGCTATATTGGGATTCTTTTGAATTCCGTCTAAACAGAATAGAATAACAGAGACGGAAGGGACCTTGGAGGTCTTCTAGTCCAACACTCTGCTCAGACAGGAGACCCTATATCATTTGAGGTAAATGGTTGAACAATCTCTTATTGAAAACTTCCAGTGTGGGATCATTCACAACTTCTGGAAACAAGTTGTTCCACTGATTAATTGTTCTAAGTGTCAGGAAATTTCTCTTTAGTTCTAACTTGGTTTTCTCCATGATTAGATTTCATCCATGGCTTCTTGGATGAAAGGTGCTTTGGAGAATAAGTTGTGGTATGCCCTTAGTTATTGGAACACTGCTATCATGTCACTCCCACTAGTCCTTCTTTTCATCATAACTCTTCTCACTGTTCTAGCTATCTCTATAGTTCTAGGTTGCTTCTCTCCTTGATTAGTTTCTATCCATTGCTTCGTGTCCTACCCTCAGGTGCTTTGGAGAATAGCTTGACTCCCTCTTCTTTGGGGCAACCCTGAGATATTGGAACTCTGCTATCATGTCTCCCTGAGTCCTTCTTTTAGTTAAACTAGAGATACCCAATTCCAGCAACTGTTCTTTATATGGAATTGAACAATCTCAGCATAGCATGAATCCAATCCTTTACTGCCTCTTGGTGGTCAAAATAAATAAAGACACCCCACAAGACAGACATAGTTAAGAACTGAGAAATTCTTCAGGTAAAATCTCATACATGGGCAGATAACATAATTTACTATCCCTATCTCCCTCCACTGAGAGCCTAAGGGCAAGTGATCATCTATACTATTCTGACAGACTATCAACTTCCTAGGAAACATGTCTCCAAAGTTTAGTTTGTCCCGGAGCTGCATCATTCATTCAACACTGGAAAGGAAATAATTCACTTTGGGTTTCAGGCTAAGCATAAGCTCAGGAAGATTTAAAAAATGGGGAATGCGTTTGAGAAGCAGCTGAATTATCCATAAAGAATTGCTAATTTGTATTTCCTACCCTCCCTCTTCTGTTGAAGCACCTTGGAGTCATTCCGTTCTAAAATTCAAGATGAATGAAGAACAGTACTGGGAATTCGCTTAGGTTATAAGAGAAAGTTTTTTTTTTTTCCCACCAAGGGAGACATGCCAATATAGAAAATAATCATCAGTGCTAAACACCCCCCTCCCTTTCTCTGCCAACAAGATCAACTTTCAGCATATGCTAGTTTTCTCCTCTTTTTCTCCAGAGTCTAGAAATTGCAATGACAGGTTCAGTGGTTAACTAAATAATAATCAACATCAAATGCCTTAAGTTATGAAAATGGGTAAGGATATAAAAAGCAATCTAGAGAAAATCAAATTACTGTGTTCATAGCGGCCTATTTAAATTGGAATTGATCCTTGAAGCTGATTTTATTGCATCAGTTTCAGAAATTTAAGAATGTGCTGTATTACGGCCAGCACTACTTATGAAGGAAACTCTCATTTGGAGGGCTCTTAACACAGGCTAGGGACTTGAGGCTATGATATAATTGAATTCCTTTTTAGAACTTTCTGACCATAATTCCTTTTGGCTGCACACACTTCATTGGGATTAAACTGCTGTGAACTCAGATGAAGTAATGATGTTCAAATACTTAAGAACTGACTCATTTTATTAGAGTGCTTTGATTCCTTTTCGAAGGAATCATGGAAGCTCAAGTAATTACTTGCCCTTTTTCGGGCCATTATATCATCCTATAAATTATTTATATTTTTCTTTGGGTGTGAGGCTAAAGTATGAACAACCGAGTACAGCATTTGTCAATGCTGGACTTGTCAGCAACATCGTATTCCAACTTTAAATGACTGTCACCATCCAACTGACCATGCCCAAGTCCTTCGTAGAACTGGGCTTCTTAGGAATGAACTTTCCCAGTGAGATGGAACTTCTATGTCCCTACTTGAGGTCATCAGAACTTACTGCATAGATAGTGAGCAGAGTTAACTCAGTGAGCAGAGTTATGATGAGAAGGAGGACTAAGGGTGACATGATAACAGTGGTCCAATATCTCAGGGACTGCCACAAAGAAGAGGGAGTCAAGCTATTCTCCAAAGCACCTGACGGTAGGACAAGAAGCAATGGGTGGAAACTAATTAAGGAGAGAAGCAACTTAGAACTAAGGAGAAATTTCCNCTTAGAGAGGGCTGAAAGCCCTATGAAGCGGTATATAAGTCTACTGCTATTGCTATTGCTATTGCTATCTCTGGAGGTTTTTAAGAGACTGTATAACCACCTCTCAACAAAATTATCGGGTTTTGGGGAGGTTTTTTTGCACATTGTTGAAGACTGGATCAGATTATTTTTGTGGTCCATTCCTCTTCCAAAATTTTATGATTTCATGACAAACCACATGAGTAGTAATTTTTATATAGCATAAAAGGCGACCCACTTTTTAAAGGGGGGAATAATAATAAATGATGCCTTGTGATGAGTGCCTTTGGCAGGCAACATTCAAAGAGGAATGCAGCTGGGGAAAATTCTGAGAAAAGCAGAAATGGCATAGCAAAGCAAGGCAGGGGGAAAAAAAGGGTGAGTTGTCATCTTACCCTCAACATAGGCCTGAATGGATCTGTCAACTGAAGAGAGAAAAAGAGAGAATTAAAATCAGTCACTCAGACCTCCGTTCAGGTAAATTAGCAGATCAGCATTCTTAAGAATCTGAAAATGGAAAACATTAGCCTATTCTAAATTGTACAAGTAAGCACTTCCTGTAACTTTAATAGAGAGAAGTAGTAAAACAAAACAATTGCTTGGTCAGCTTTAGATCTATTGCCAGCTGTTTTTCTAGCAATGTATCTGAATTGTTGGCTTCCCAGATAGTCTTCATAAGGTCCGCCGGAGGTTGAAAACTGGTTTAACCCATCTTGCCTTCCCATCTGTTTCTGTCTGTGTGTCCAAGGGAGACAATGCTTATATTTATAAGCCACCCTGGAAGCTTTTTGGCTAAAGAATGATGAAGGGACAATGTTTCATATGAATTAGCAAATAAATAATTCCCAATCCACATTCTGTTATTTATCTTGGATTGACCACCAAGCAGCAGAACATGGCTGGTTTCATCCTATATAGCAGTGTTTCTCAACCTTGGCAACTTGAAGATGTCCGGACTTCAACTCCCAGAATTCCCCAGCCAGCATTCGCTGGCTGGGGAATTCTGGGAGTTGAAGTCCG